ATTGTTTATATTTAAAAGAAGCATAGAGTGGTGGAATATAATTTAGGTTTTTAGTAAATTTGTTCTTTTATATTTTACCTACTCATGTAGAATAATATACTTTGTGGAGTTAGAGATATTAATACTTGTTTACTTATATTTGAATATTATCCTGGGACTAGGTTTGGGAAGTCCGGGGGGGTGGGAGGTGGGTTTTCATGTATTGTGTAATATTTGTGATGTTTTTTTTCTATGATGAAAATAATAAAAATTTTATATTGGAAAAAAAAAAGAAAAAGAAAAGTCATGGCAGCCAAAGACAAACCCAAGTCCGGCCATGCTTGTAGTAGGATATAGTCTGTCCTTCTAAATGATCATAGAACTGCTGCCTAACAGACCCTATGTGTCTGTGTTAATGATTTAAAATACTTGGGGAAATTGGCCATTAAAGAATTTCCTAGATAGAAATAAAAGTTTTGAATCAGGGGATTCAGAGGAAATTAACGTCAAGTAAAGTTGCTTGTCAGGTCTTACAGCCCATTACTTACAGTGCAGCCATAAAGCCATTTTTATTTCATTGCAGCTTACGCCCACATAAGTGGATACAATATTGTAGCATTTTGAGAACAGGAAAAACCATGCAAGATGATATACCAGCATTTCCCTGAAGGTCTGGACAGCAGGAATTCTATATGCCTTTGGACTCAATAGTTTTGATGAGTTATTGGTCTACCCAGTGCAGACCTTAGTTGGTCATGAACCTTCTCCCAAAATGATATTGCTATGATTTCAGAAAGCCTATTTACTAACTCCACTTTCAGTGATTAATAAACCTAATTGAGTAACCCTAACCCCAATTTTGTCGCTATTGATTATAGATAAGCCTAAATCATTCATAGCCTGACTTTCTGGGACTTGTTTTGTTTCACCGTTTTTGAGGATTTTAAATATAATGAACCTAGCAAGCAAAAGCCTATTTTGAGCAATTTTGAAGCAAGTAAATTGGAAGATTATTAAACTACTGTGTCTTTTAAAAACATTTTTGGTTGATACTTTAAATTCAGATATTCAAATGAGCGTAGTAACCATACTCTATTTGAGATGATTTAAAGTAAATAAAACCCCAATGAACAGTTTGTATAAGCCTTATGACACTTAATAGGGGTAAAAGAAGTTTTTTTTAAAAAAAAAAAAATCCAATGTGCCTTTCATAAGTAAAAAATTGTATTATTGCCTTTAGATGGTTATTGCCTGACCTAGAAAAAGTTTGCCATGTTCTCCATATAATAGTTGATACATATGGCACACAGGGAGAAATTTATTTATTTATTTATTTATTTATTTATTTATTTATTTATTTATTTATTTATTTATTTATTTATTTTTCATGTATTCACTCATTTATTCATTTTTACAAATAAGTCAAGGCAGCTTCCTCCTCTTAGTTTCCCACCCTTTGAGGTGAGTTGGGCAGAGAGTGAGTGACTGTCTCAGACATCCAGCTGGTTTTCATGGCTAAGGCCGAACTAGAACTCTTTGTCGCCTCGTTTCTAGTTCGGCACCTTCCCCACTATGCCAAACAGTATGCCTTGCATCAACATCGTCATCATTCAAAACACCAAATAAAAATAATTATGATCCTGTACACTTGGCATGTATATGCTGTATGTGCTTCATGTGACCTAAAAGGATCTGAAGTTGATTTTTTTTTTTTACAATCAAATGTTTAGCCTGGATTTAGCATGTTATCCACCTATCAAGTCTTTCCCAACAACCTTGAATAGGCAGGTGTTACTGTTTGATGGTGTTAAAAGGAATCCTTGCAGAATTATTATTATTATTATTATTTATTAAATTTGTACGCAATCAGACTCTCAGAAAGATTCTAATCTAGGTATTTCACACACACACAAAAGAATAAAACATTAAAGTTAAAAGATGTCAAGTGCAATGAAGCAAGGAGTCTCACCCTCCCTTGCCAAAGGCCTAGCTATTCAGAATCTTCAGTGCTTGCTTTAATCCTCACATCCAGGAGCTTCAGATCCATTCTGCAAAAATGGCTTAGAGCACACACAGGCATAAACTGCAGCACTTTTCTGCAATCTCTGAAAGTTGTTGCTGCAGGTTCTCCTAGGTTGCGTGGCTGCTCTCTGCACCTGCCGTGTGGTCTCAGAAAAAATGCAGCAGTTTTGAGGATTGCAGAAAAGTGATGCATTCATGTTCTTCAATGCTCCAAAGCATTCTGTTTCCAGTCACAATGAACTGGAGTCTATTTTCGAAAAAGAGCTGTCTTGGCTTGTTATAGATTGTTAATTTTTAATGTTTTAATGTTTTGTTGTGTTACTGATACAATTTTATTTGGTTTGTTATTTGCTTGTCATATATTTGTTGTCAAGGCCTTGGGATTGAATCCATCTTTTCAATACCAAATAATGAACTCGGCATTGGTTCTGTTACTTTAGTTTATAGCATCTGTTCTGTTTCCTAAAAAGGCTTATTTGCTATACTGGGAGAAAGCTTAACACTTTTGCTCATTTAAAAAGGAGAAACTGAAAGAATATACCATAGTATTTTGCCCAACAAAGAAAAAGTCTTCATGCTTCTAAAGATAAATTACTTTTTCCTAATGTGAATCACCTACATTATCAGGGGAACATATTCCCAAAGAGTAAATCAGTACCTTTGTGAATCTTAATAAAACTGAATACAGATCTGTTGTAAATGAAGCTGTTTCTTTGAGGATAGCTTGGCAGTATCAGCATCAGCCTCTATATGCTCTTTTGGCTGGATCCTCCCCCTATCTCTGCTTCAGTGATCAAGTCACAAATGTCATCGACAAATTGAGAAGAGTTCTTTCTTAAAACCTGATAGAGAAAGAGTGG